CCCCACACACACACACCCAAACCCAAGAGTAACAAAAAGGAAGAGCAAAATAACTGACCGCCGGCGAGTTTTCCGACACAGCGGTAGTTGGAGGTGACAGTTGGACTGTTGACAACGTCCATCATAAGTTCGACGAACTGGTCCAGCTTATTGGGGTCAGTGATGACGTCAGCGTTGAGCAAGGTGTTCATAACGTAGGTGTTTTTCTTGCTCCTGTTCAGAGAAGAAATGTTGATTTTTTAATGTTTTTTATTTTGTTCGACTCAAGCTAAATTACCGGTAATCACTTAGGAGACGAGCTTCGACCCTGCCTGCCCCGTCCAGCCCGGGCTGAGAGAGATACATTACAAAGTCCTATCAGAAAGATCGAGATACTCGATAAAAATTCTCCACACAAGAGAATCGAACTCTGGCCTCCCGCTGTTTTGAAAAGTGGTGTATGATGGAGCCCAACACAAAAAGTCGATATGGGGAAGTTTCTCATCGAGTATCTCTGCCTGCCTCCTGGGAGGTTGGTACATCCCATTCAGCCCCAGTTGACCCTAACAGGCAGGGTCGAAGCAACCAGCCTCATAAATTATTTAAATTGTTACCACGGAGGGGGGCGGGGGGGGGGAGCGTAAAACATCTACAGTTAGGTTCTCATGTATCACATCACTTGTGGTCATGTAGCATGAATATTCCAATCAAATTTTCCTACATTCTCAATACACGTACATGTAGTAATATTACTTTCAATGATTTATGTTTGATCAGCTTTCTTCTTCGCCTGTTATTGTTTTGCTAGGCTGTTATTCATGTTATTATTGTTATTGTTTTTAAGCTTAAGTAAGAGTTTTACGACACTTGCAACACAATAAGATCATATAAGATTAGAGGTGTTACAGGAGGGTAAAAAAAAAGGTAAGAGGAGAGATACGTTGTTGTTGTTGTTGCTGCTGCTGCTGTTATTGATGCTGTTACTGCTGCTGTTACTCCTGTTATTTTTGTTGTTGTTGTTGTTATTATAATAATAATTATTA